TCTAAATCAGGATGGACGAACTGGCCAGGACATGGTGACACCAGTTTAGGCATCACCAGCCACACAGGATCATTAAATAAGCCCATGGAATTGTTATAACACCATCACAGTCAAACTGGAGCTCAGCCCAAAACAATATTCCTGATGGATGAGTAACATTTGCTTCAAATTCAATTGAATTGATCTAATTTCAACCTCATTGCCAGGCTTTTCCATGGGTTGTAAAGGGTTGTGGCTGAACAACAGCTTTTACCTCACAACACACTTCTGTGCATTATTTTACATGCAAGGCCTGTATGCCCAGGTGCCTAAAAACAAAGTGCTTATTAGTGCTGCACATCTAATCCCGGCTTGTTGTCTACAATTTGTGTTTGTGGCCAAAGGACTTGTGGACAAAGTTTTAGATTTGCTGGGAAAGAGGTTTGAACTGAGTAGGAGAATAAACATCGCAAATAAAATCTTATTTCAGGTACAAACTTAAAGTTTGGCAGAGAGATAGAGACAAATCTTTTTTATTAAATGAACACGTAACCTCTCAGGGAAAAAAAATCACTGTCTGCCTGTATAGTGTCTGCCTGTATAGTGTAGTTTGCTTTTTGCTTTTTATATTTTGCTTTTTACTTTTAACATTCAGGAATTGCATTACTCAGAAAAATAATTACATGCACATTTAGCCAGCCAGGCTTCGAGAGGAAATTTTTGGAGAAGAGACACACTGGAAGAGGTAGCTGAACAAACTTTTATCATTGCTGCATGTTTGTTAGTGAATAGAAGAGGCTGTGCCTTTCTTTTCACAGCAAAGATTTAGATAGCTAATCTGGGCAAACAGCTCTGGCATTTCCTCACTTGAATGCTTAATTTGTTAGCCTCCAGTTTTATCTTACCTGCTTTCACACAGAAGACAAACATGTCACAATCCTTAAAAAAAATAAAATCTAACTGTAAACTTTCACTCTCACTCCCTTAAAAAAAAGTATAAAGGAAAACTTGTTGAAGAAAACCATCATACCACAGCAAGTTAACCTGACAACATTCAATATTTCAGGGTACAATATAAGACTGTTCCCAACTACCAGAATCAAGATTAAATATAAAACACTGCTATGAACACAAACTTCCTCCAATAATATGGACTTTCATAAACACAGTACAGTGCACATTTTTTGTAACAGTTTGTGTTTCATATCCTATGGGAGATTTAGAATGGGCTTGTCTGGATCGATCAAGAACATGAAGTAAAATGAAATTAAACCTGTACAACACCATTCTATTTCTTTTTCTTTTATATTCAGCTGCTGGTTTGTGTGTGTTCTTTGAATTGCCATACTTCCACAGTCCCACAAAACCACGGGGGAAACTGAGGATTGAATTAATTCCACACAAATTGTGTGATACCAATACCTCAGAAGGCCAGATAAGAATCTCTCACAGTTGTTGGCTGGCCAGAATCAGCTCTCACTGGACAGTTGCTTCAACCTCTCCTCTAGACCTGTAAATTCCCAAAAATCTTTACAAGAGCTCACTGTTAATGCAAACAGAGTTTAAGTTTTTTATTCATTTGTGAGATTTTTTTTCTCTAAGAAAATCTCCAGTCAAAAAATATCTTACATGTGACTGTTCACTGATTCTGCATGAAGCAAATTGCCTTGCCCCAAGGCAAGCAGATTCCCTAGAGGTTAACTGGGAGTTTGTCCTCAAATAATAGATACTACATTTCACTACAAATTATTAGGTCATTTTACATGGCAACATGGCTATAAAGGACCTGTGCAATCTCAAGGGCACTGGCAAATTGAAAGTTCTTTGAGAAAAACTTGTTTAAAAAAAAAAAAGGAGCAAAACAAAGCAACCTCGGAAGGCCAGATTGCAAACTCATCTGTTACATGGGTCTATTTGCAGAGAAAGTCTCTTAATTTCAGCCCTACTTAGGAATTCACTCTGGTTGCTGGCAAAAGTAGATATCTGGAATCTTAAATGCTAGAATGCAGTCCTCAACTGGGGCAACTAACTGCCTTCTTTAAATGTCTTTTTGGAAATATCACTTGGGATCAAAATCCTTTACAAAACACTTTCTTACTGTGACACAGTGTGTACTAACATTGATTTCTGTGTGTCTCCTTGACAATACTAGAATTGCTGTCTCTGAGTGTTTTATATCAGAATTTAGTCACCCACAGAACTCCATAAAATAATTACATGTATTTCTACAGGAAAATATTATTTCTATTAGGTATTTAATCCTAATTAAAATTTTATCTGTACTTTCAAGACAACAACAAGCAAAGTCTTGTCATATTTTTGGTCCAACATTTGAGAGTACTGAAAAGCATCTAAGAAATAACTCGTGATCTGACATTCAGGACCTAAATACCAGTGGTCACTGCACACTTCATAAAACAAAGAAGATTTTCTTTTAACTGAATTTAGCATGTTATTACTAATATTCATATTACTTTGCTTGTTATTCTGCCAGCTTTGTCTGTTCTGTGAGGATGAATATGGACTTTGCCATTCATCACAGGGGATGAAACACTGATCACTTATACTCAGGAGACAAAACCTAAATGTATTTCCTCCTTTTTCCCAGAAGCTCTAGAAGTAGAACTAACTGGAAAGCAATCTGAGAGCATGAAGGTGCACAACCATCCAAAGCACAGCAGGTAAATTGCAATTTAGAGGAAGAAAACAAAAACCCTTCCTGCGTGCTGCAAGTGCACTTGAGCCCTTTTATTTCTGGGCATTATATCTCAAATTCCCCATCTCCAGTTGGTACAGGAAGATACCAGAACGACTTTGGACCCCATTAGCAGAAAAGGTCAGAGCAAGCAGTCAAGCTCCCTTCTTTCAGGTGGAAGGGTGGCTACAGACAAATAACCTCAGGCAGAAAAGGCAGGGAGAATGTACTGGTTTTATGGAAAAGACAAGTCACAGTAAGAAATTAGTCTTAACCTGTGCCACTGACTAAAAACATGGGAGCTCAAATTAGCTACCTCAGAGCACATAAGGTTACCTTCTTTCCCTCTTACAGGAGAAGTTGCCCATTCCTAGATCCTGATTTGGTTTTTTACTGGAGAACTCAAAAGTTATCTTCTGCACCACGGACAACCAAAATAAAAAAAAAAAAACTGTGGCAGAGGGCTGTTGACATGTTGTCCACATTGGGACAGAAATAAGGTTTGATCAAGCTTCATCCCAAATCCTTTCAATTGTCTTTTCAACCATAATGGAAACAGGAAACATCCATATCCCAGCTGTCATGGTTTAACTCCAGACAGTAACCAAGTACCACACAGACACTCCCCAGCTCTCTGGTGAGATGGGGAAAAGAATCAGGGAAAAAAAAGTAAAATTTCATTGAGACAAGAACAATTTATCAACAGAAACAAAGTAAAGTGTAATAATATTACTAATATTAATATATTACTAATATTAATAGCAATAATAATAATGAAGAGGAGAGAGAGAGAAATAAAACCTAAGAGAGAAATAAAACCCAAAAGAAACAAGTGATGCCCAATGCAACTGTTCACAACCTGTTGAACAATTCCCAAACCATTCCTGAGAAACAATCAGTCACTTCCAGCCAACTCCACCAGTTTATAGGCTGAGAATAATGTTCTATAATATGGAATATCCAGCTCAGGTCAGCTGTCCTGGCTGTGCTCCTTGACAGTTCTTTGTGCTGCTCCTCACTGGCAGAGAATAAGACACTGGAAAGTTCTTAACACAGCATAAGCACTGCTCAGCAACAGCCAAAACATCAATGTTACATCAACATTATCTCATACTAAATCCAAACCATAGCACTGTACCAATTACCAAGAAGAAAACTAACTCTATCCTGAAACCAGGACACAGCTCAGACCAAAAAGAAAGGTCTTGCTAGAGAATTCAACCTGTGGAATGAACTTTTTTTTTCCTTCTTCTTTTTTCTTTTTTCTTTTTTCTTTTTTCTTTTTTCTTTTTTCTTTTCCCTTTTTTCTTTTTTCTTTTTTTCTTTTTCCTATTTCCTTTTTCCTTGTTAGGATTACGGTTTTTAACTCAGGCTTTGGTAGAGATGGAAGAACCAAGACTGCTACTACAGATGTCTTGAAGAGANTCTTGAAGAGAAAGGTCCTGCAGAAAGGACAGTCAGACCTTGTATTAAACCTCCTCTTAGACCAGCAGCTGTGTTGTCAGTGTAGCTGCACTGGCAGTGACAGAATCTATAAGCAGGAGTTCCCTGAGATCACCAAAACACCACATGAAGGTTCAATGCAATGATGCTCTTAAGAAAGGGCACTGTTTAACCCTGTGCATTTTATTTTTTAAAGTATAAAGGGATTTTTATTCTTTTTTTCTCTTCTTGGAGGGAGAAAAACAAGTCATAAGTTTCCAACACTGTCAGCACAATATAATATTCAAGAGTGTCTTATGAGAAGTAAAACATTTCTTAAGGAAACCATAAATTAAATATAATAAAAACAGCAAAAATATTAGTGGACATAAGCATTATAATCAAGGACATCTTTAATACTTAAAAAAAAAAATTCTTTTATTCTATTCTTTATCTCCTATTCACAAGCAATTGAATATGCCAATTAATTTAATTCCTTTTGGTTCCCCTGTTAACTCCAGAAAAAGAATTTAAGTATTTCTTAATACTGAAACGAGCGTGTTTTCATGAATTCCATAATTAATAAGCTATAGTTTTATACAGCAAATAAGAAATAGAAAGGCACAAAATGTGTTACTTTTCTCTTCCATTTGAGTCAACTAAACAATAAAATACACGATTGGTAAATCCCAACCTACACTGGAAAAGAGCAGGACTGAGGAAATACAAGCACAGTTTGTGCTGCATTTCTCTGACAATCCTCTGAGGAAAGGAGGTGAGAAATCATTGAAACTGAACCCAAAAAGCAAAATTTTAATCATTGAGTAATGCTTAGTACATGACAGTGTTAGTGGGTAATAAGAACAGATTCAGCTAAAATGAGCAGCACAAAAGTTGGCTTTACCTCTCCAATGCACTTTTTTCTAATCTTTCTTTCTCCTTCCTCTGACGTTCTTTGTTCTTCTTAACTCGAGTTTCCCACAGTCCTCTTATGACAGAAAAGTCAAATATTATCACCTGATGCCCCATACTGTCGACATTAAGCTGCTCCTGCAAGAACAAGCCAAAACAAGGAACTAAACTATCGTTTTTCATTAAAATTGTCTGGGGAGAAGAGCTGAAGACATAAGAAATATTAACATAGCACGCTTTCTATCTTACTCAATTTGTCCAGGGGTTTTGTGCTGGCAGTAATCAATGCAGCTTACAATCAACTTCTACATAAAATCTACGGCAACAGCTACATGTTAAATTTTTTGTGTCCCTTACACTTTTCTCTTTCCATGATAAAGACAGAGATGTAAAGGAATACTACTCGGATTAAGTAACACTGACAAAAACAGCTTTAAACACTTTGCATTTTTAACAATTTCTGTAATATTAAAATGAGAGCTCCCAAAGAATTTACTAAGTTTTAAATTGTGCAAATTCATCTTGGGTTCTAGTTCACCTACTAAAATCCCTAATGTAAGCACACATACAAATCTAGATAAAAGAGGTGAAGCTATACTATTTTTTCTTGGGGTCACTGGTAAGGGTACTATCATCACGGTATAAGTGGCTTTCATGAAATGTAGCTAGATCACCTACACAGAAAAGTCACTTACTTAAACTTTGTGTGAGGTTTTATTAGAGAACACATCTATTATACCATTTCCAAGCTTATTAAAAAAATAAAGAAAAGAAGGAAGAAAACCCTGCTGGACTGTCTACTGATCAGTTAAAGAGCAATCTGCCCCTTCCTTTCCTGGGTGTTTTCAAGTTTGTATCTATATCTTTTTTACTTTATGGTGATCATTTTTCAAAGCCTTACATTCTCCAGCTAGGGCCATTTATTATCTGTCCTTCTCTTATAATACTGAGGAGGAATGGGAAATTATTCTCCCCTTTGTATTTTTTTCTCTCGAGGCTTTGCAAATGTCCTTTTCTCTTTCACCCTCTTTCACCTGTAAGATGTTACATCTCTCTGTAAGACATAACACACAAAGAATAATTTCTTCTGAGCCAGCAAAACACCCCCCTGTCCTCTGCAAAATGCACAGCATGGACACAAAAGGATTATGCACAGGTACCCCCACAGGAAAGTTTCCTACCTGTTTGCCTTATTAGTCATCTCAGTAAGAAAGTGCCCTACAAATACCTGCAGGTACTGGCACAGAGACTGGTCAGAGACCAGTATCTTTCTACTTACATAGCTTTCTGTACCTTAGGATGTTTATATAAAATGTTATCTTTGCTGTTCATAAAGCTGCTCCCCTTTCTTGTTTATCTTTGCAAGTACTAAGAATGTGGCAAAAATAGTTCCCGACCCACCTGGAACCAACTGCTGACAACAGCCAAGTCAAAACCCCATTAAAGCAGTGTAATTAGAACAGTGACCTTCTTCTCTGGGGAAAGGTTTATCTATAATCAGCTGACCCTTACAAGACATATTCACTGATAATTTACAGGAACTGTTTGCTGCATAAAATAAAACATTCACCTCTACTTACCAGAGAAAGAAACCCAGTGACAAGGACTTCCCCCCTCATAGTAACTGCAGACCAGCAGTCGCTCTGTAAGGTCTAATTAATTCTAATAGATCAGTTTATAGCAGTGTGTTTTGGTAGAAGGACTATTGCAGGAGCTGATTTGTTGCCAGACAGTGAAGTTGCAGCTGGACACTTGACCTCTATTGAAACTAGATGGCCCTAATCAACACAGAGTCTGAGTAGACTGTGAAAGTGCTCTTTTTCCTTGACTTTTTCCCCACCTTCCGTCTCACAGGTTAAGTCATCTGTTCTTTACTGAGGCACTGATTTATTAGACACTCAGGTTGGAAAAGTTCATACAGCTTTTATTCACATATTGCACTAGGCTGCAGTGCATTGGGGGGGTTTTCTTCAGGGGTAGAACAAGCAGAGGACGAACTTGGGTGGGAGGTGAGAGGTGTCCATCATAACTCCTCAGGACTAATCCCTTCAGAAGGAGCAAATCCACAAATCCTGATCAGATTAGAGGGTGACAGGCTTTAGAAATATTCATCAGGACAAACACAGAATGCTTTTTGCCACCTACAACTCTGAAAAGGTCACCTAACAATCTTCACAGAGCTATTGCTTTACCCTATATCCTCGTCTAAAAAATGGGCAAGTATCAAGCATGCATTTGCCAAAGATCAGACACTACCATTTTTATGATGATGAGATGTTGCCCAGAAAACAGAGCCTGGCAAACTGGCCAAAACTCAACTAATCTGATCCTAAGTGTGAGTTCTTCAGGGTACCTACTCATGCATGGCAAGAATTTATGACAGAAGAGGCAACTACCAATAATGATTACCATTTCTAGAAATGCATGGGGCTGTACATGTTCAACATCACATACCGTTGTTGCTTTAATCTATTATTATTATTGCTGTTGTTATTGTTATTGATGTTGTTGTTATTGTTGTTGTTGTTGTTACAGGTTGGAAGTTAAATTTGGGTAGAGAAATGTCTCACTATACACTTCTTTCTAACTTCTTCCCTTCAAGTGGAAACACTGCTGTGTATTATCCCATGCTTGAGTTCTTCACAGGTAATCACTATTATCACTTTACCAATTGCCAGGAAGCAGAGAAGTTAGAAAGGGCCTCTGGAGGTCACCCAGTCCAACTGCTCTGCTCAAAGCAGTCATATGATTATTCATCCAAATCTATACTACAGTCCCCTTCCTCTTCAAAATTCCCCATCCTTTTGTAATTCAACATTGCTAAATTATGCTTTAGATCACCAACACAACTTTGTTAGAGGATGCATGGTTATAACATTTATCAGTCTTTTGAGTTATTAGTGAGATAGATCACAAAAGCAAGGCTATTCAGTAATGTATTCAATTTATGTACAGTGCTTTCCAGGGGAAAGGGGATTCAGAAACATAAAAAGAAGGCAAAAATATTGTTTACAGGAGAAACTAGTGTGGAGAAACTAGTTCTCTGTCTGTGAAAGCAAACAATCTTATCCCTAGCTATTTACACCTCCCAGGAAATAATCTACAAGGCCTTAACCAATATCCTTAAAAGGCAACATACTAGGTGGCCAAACTAATCTTATCTTCTGAGTTATGATTAGCTCAGAAACAAAGCTGGCCATCCATGATACTTTTTTTTTTTAATTATTGTAAGATATTCCCTTAATAAGCAGCTACACGCTACATTTAAGGAAATATTTTAAAGCAATATATAATTTAAATAATTAATTTAAAATTTTTTAAAACAGCTCTTTTTTAATAAATATTTCATTATTTGGCAATGTGATAAGAGAGGTTGTGACCAGAGAGACTTGTGCTAGCAGCAAAGGAGAGAAATTTCCTTTTGTTACACTCTTTCCACTCTTCATGTTTTTTTTAAGAAGAGAGAGAATTAAAAATCCCTTCGAACAGCACGGCCTTTGCAACATCATCTCTTCCTCAGCCAGGAGGCTGTGTCATAGAATCATAGAATCATAGAATCATAGAATCGTAGAATCATAGAATCAGTTGGGTTGGAAGAGACCTCTGAGATCAGCAAGTCCAACCCTTTGTCATCTGCAACTTTGTCCAGTTTTCATCAATAAGGAGCTCATAGGAATCTTCCCTCTATACATTCTATAGAATTTTCCCTCTATACATTCTAAACCACAAATAGATGTTTCTCTCCCCTAGGGCGGCACTTTCAGTCCGAGATGCTACAACCAGAAGGATTTTCTCAATTTCAACATTCCAGAGTTCTGTACCTTCACTGGAGCACCTCTCCTACCAAGCAGCTCTCTCAGACTTGTCCCACTGCAGGCCCCATCTCAACACTGAGACCCTTCTCCTTACCAAGTGGGTCTAATTTCTGGTTTCAGAAAGAATAAAACATCTTTCCTTAACAGTGTTGCAGAAACTTTATTCATTTAACTGGATATATAGATAGGCCTATTAAAATCAAACACAGTCCTCACGTGTATAAGGATAATGACACTCTAAAACATTTGGAGGATTAAGTGGCAAAAACCCCAAAATCTTAGTGATGATACTCATCGTATGTTTTATTTAAATGATATAACATTAATGCTAAGTGTTACTGTTAGTAAAAGCATCTGCCTAAGTATCTGCATGGATTATTTTTATTTTATCATTTATTTTAACACCTATTTTATTTTATCATATAAATTCACCTGAAGGTATGCAGACTGTTCTCCAGCATCTACCTCAGACTTTCTTTTTTAAATAGCAGTAGTACTCAGGAGGCCTATAACCAGAATCTTTTCAGAAAGTTGAAAACAGAATGGAAAAGATATCTGCCTTGTGACGTCTATAATCTTTTTCATTTTTCATTTACTGTTTTTCATGCTGTTGCTACAAACATATGCGTGCTTCAGATGTCGACCCCACTTAATTCATGTTTGTAATTAACTTAAACTAGAGCAACACCTGCACACTGAGATGTTTCAGTGTGTTGTGGGGAGGTGGGGAATCATTTTGACAAAAATATTGTCTTCTAAGTTGTGCTATTTTATGTGCTCATTATGAACCAGAGAGTGATCAGATCCTGGAGAACAAACACCACCAATGTGAAGCTTTCAACTGCCACATTTTGGCTGTACATTTTTGAACACCCCATGTCTGGGAGCGATTTTACTTTTTAGGAGGTAAATCAGGAATGGAATTGGCTCTGAAAATGACCACCAAACTAACCCCTTCCTTCATTCTCTGAAGAATCAGACCTAATTCACCTCAAAAAGAGACCTCGAGAGGCTGGGGGGAGAGGGGATGATGACACAAATCCAAGAGACTGAGTTTAAATTTTTAGCTCATCACATAAGAGTTTAAAAACCACACACCAAAATCTCCGCTCCAGGGTGAAACCTGTTTCCACCTTGTAGAGCTAAATACACAGATGAGATGTAAAACTAAGATAAAAAGAAAAATCAAACTTCCACAAGGAATAATCTCCATGCAATGAACCACAGCATCACAGCCTGCACAAGTCACTTACTTTTCTCCAAGGGTCACCCGGAGGCTGCTCTGGAGTAAGGAAATTAATTGTTCACCATGTTGTGTTCAACAGATACCCATTAAAATATAGTTGGAAAACTGAGTAAATAACCCTACATGACACTTTCTGATACCAAATATACACAATTCTTTGTTTTACACAGAGATATTTAATTTATACATAAAATAATCTCTCCAGTAAAACTGGAGAGATTTAATGTGCTGTACCTTCAATGCCCTTGCTCCCTTCAATACTGAATCTCCAACTCTTGTTTACAGTCCTGCCACAGACCAGCCAGATGCTTCCACAGCCATCCTTGATGGCAGCCAGTGATCCCCAAACCTCTTGGATTTGTTACCACTTGACCTCTGAACCCTGAGCAGGCACTTGACAATTTTTTTTTTCTTTTCCTCCTGGGCTTAGTATAAAGGGAAGAAATGGTGACTTGCAGGACCTTTGGAGGTGTACCCAGCCTGAGATACGGAGGACTCAGGCAACTGGGTTCCAAACAAACTGCTGACAAGTACATGAGCTAAAAGCAGCCCTGAATTTTGGACAGAAGGCCTTCCAGACAGCAAAAGTGCTTTTGACATCAGCAGCTTCATAGAAAGAACAGTTTGAGGCCTTTCTGCATTCATCACAGCACCTGAGAGACATCAATGTGTAGATGCACTGAGGAGCATAATAGAGAAAGAAAAAAAAAGGACAAGCAACGTCTTCTTTGGACAGAAAAGTAGCAGAGCACAGGAGAAGATTCACATTCTTAGATGTGCTGACTCTGTGGCCTGCCAGTGACCAACTCTTCTACAGCTTCTCCCTGTTCACCAACATTATCTGTCTTGTCTGCAGCGGGTTGAATACAGCCTGTCATAAACCAAAATTACATTGGCTTTATTATGCTACACCTCAACCTCCTCTGAACACAGGTGTTAATGCTGGCCAACTTCTCTGTGCACAGTGCATTCTGTAGAACGAGACCTGTGTCTTCTCTTGAGTCTGGAAAGACTCTGGCATAGCTTTGATACCACAGGTACAGCCAATATTAGTCTCTGTTACCAGCCCTCCTGATTTCATGTGGTGCCTGGTTGCCCTCAATAACAGCACTGTGTATACTTTCCTTTGCTCTTTTACAGGAGTCACTAAAGTATTAATGGCTTGGTTTCTTCCATTTGCTTAACAGCCTGGTTCATTTGGGCCCTTTTTCTTTCAGATAATCACCGTGGGAGATCTGCTGCAATCTAATGAATATTACTGGCAGGATTACATAGGGGAAAATGTGAGTGAAACATTTCCTAACAATCCTGCAAATAATTTCTTAGGAAATAAGCTCACTCACACTGCAGTTCAGAATGATCAAGTCATTTATCTCACAAGTCTTTAAATAATTCAAGGGAAACCAGACATTTGGGTAGCAACTGAACACATTTTTTGTGTTATCAAGATTAAATTACAGAAACATGCTGTGACTGAAAGAGCAATAGAGATTGTGACAGTGTTCATCATATCCCAGTATATTGTGCTAACTGTGCACAGCTTGTAAGTGAGGTGGAGCTTCCCTGTGCCACTTGGGGAGTAGGAGAGGCCTCCAAAATTGGAAGCTGCTCTTCCCTGCCTAGTCTTGCTACCAGTAACAGACTCTTACTGCTCTACACCAGCAGGGAATTATACTCCCTGCTAATTTGGGTGGTTTCTCTGTCACTAAGCCTGCCAACAGTGCAGATTTGACAGTTAAGAGTTTCAGGTCAGGGATCCAAGACAGACTGTGCTTCAGATCACATCTGCAGGCACGTGTGTGATGGCTGGGTCCTGGGGAACACGTGGCACACAGGGCAGTGCCAGGGATGACAGTGGCACTCCTCCAAAGGCCTGGATCCACAGAGATCTAGCTATTGTAGCTACACCACGGAATAAATAGAAGAAAGGGACAAGCTGCTCCAGGGCTGGAGAAAGCAGTTCTGACACCTGGACGTGAGCCCAGATGTTTGGGGAGTTTGAAACGTTCCCTTTTGCTCTCTCAAGAGCACAGTCTCATCCAGCTGGCTCCCAGATAAACAAACACAGACAGGCAGTGACACTCTCAAGCTATTAATTAGTCCAACTTTCACTGAAGTTAATTTCAGAAATTAGTGTCTTTGCATATCATGGAACTTAATCCTGAATGCTCTGGTGAATCAAGATCTTTTTTAGTTTTCTAACTTAAGAGGAGTTTAAGACCAGAACCTGACATTAACCTCTGTCATACACAAATAGATAACATTTGCATAGTTTACACAAAACAAATAAGAGCAAATATGTCTTTTCTAGACCTAGTCCTTATGCTTCAGGTAGAAATAACTTTGAACACCACAAAATTAAAAAGAGACAGGCAAGGGCTAAGCTTGGTTTCCACACATTTTTGTGTGCATATTTCTCTCTGTCCAGTGCTGCAGCACAGTGTTTTACTGACAGTTTTCATTAATCAGTTCCTATTCCAGATGTAAATTAACCAGTCTCACAAACAAGATTCCTCTCTAGCACTGCAGTCTTCACATTTTGATTTTTAGACAATTTTTCACAAGGCTATTCATTAATTAGGTCTTTAATTATGGATTAATTAGTAGCTGATTTACAATATTCCTCACACTTCCTCAACTCTTGTAGCAGTAATATGTTTGCCATCAAGCATGATAGATGTTACATATGCAAGGGGATTTATTACAGTTGTATTCTCCTAGTACTTCAGTGAGCTACTAATTATTCTTCCACTGACAGTAAAGGTAATGAAACACTGGATGGATGTCTGTGACATAAATGCATTCTTTTTTTTTTTTTCACTGGGTATTGCTGAAGAGAGGTCTAATTCTCTTAAGATTGAGAGAAAAACTATTTATTTGAAATGGGCATGTATTTTAAAGCTGTTTCTTGTCAAAAGAAAAACAGTAAGCTCAAAAGTGTATTACATATTTCTTAAGGTGCTGATTGCATGAGTGTAGCTGTAGTCAGAAGGTCTAAACAATTGTCTTAGGTAGTACACAGCAGGGTCCTGGGAAATGCAGGCCATGTGCTAAGTACTGATTAGAGAGACTCCACTGGACTGCTCATACACAGACCCATGGCAAATAAATTTGCACTCATTGCCACTGAACAAAACATGAAGACTTTGATACATAATTAGATTATATTAACTAAACATAACACTACAGTTTCAGGTTTCTCAAACCTGTTTTTGCCCTTCAGTTTTTTAACACATCTCATTGACTTTTCTTATTTTTATTTTTGATATTTTATTATTTACTACTATTATTATTATTATTAAAATTATTATTGATATTTTTTATTATCCTTTACTTAAGGATACTGAACCATCCCCAGAAAGCAATACTACTACTACTACCTTTTGTGTCCCTTCAGAGGGTCCAGTTTCTGAAGTTATCTATGTGCATGACAGCAGCAAAATTTTAGGCTCCCAATTAGTCCTAATTGTGACTAATCAAAGACCCTCAAAATTTTGATCATTTCCTTCTGCTCCCAGAGGGCAATTTTCCATGCATTGCTCTAAGAATCCAACCCAGTCATCTGCCTCTAGTGCAGAAGGAGAGAAAAACCTATGTCTGACCTATAGCAGTCCTGTTTCCAGTGTTAGACACGAGATCATTAATTGTATACAGAGTGAAATGCTCGTAGCCAGTTCCCAAGCTGCTAAATTCCGTGATTTAAGATGTGGCAGTTAATTCAGATAAGCAAGAGACAGTGCTGCTTTCAGCTACTCCAGCAGCCAAGCTACTTTAGGCTCAAATGGTCCAAACCCCACCACAAAGTCATGTATTTTATCAGCTCTCTTCTCTCACCACATCTGTGTCTTTACTCTTTCCCACAAAACCTTCTCATGCCTACGGACAGGAGACACAGATGGCATGGATGGACAGCTGGACATCCTCCTTTGGAATAATTCTCCACCTTCACCTTCTGCCTTAGAAGAGCAAAGTGAGTGAAACTCTTTGATAGGATTTACCTCTTTGGTTAATAAACATTAACATCCACCCCGACCCTTGAAATGGTGCTCAGTTAGCTGCTGTTGGGAGGAAAAGCAGTGGTCAGCCCTTTTTAGCCTACAGAAAGTAACATGTCAGTGATAGCACATAAATACTTATGGTAGCAACAACAACAATAATGACAATATTTGACTTTAAATGATAGGCTTTGTTCACAAAAGATTTAGCAGGTTATATATCTCCTATGCCAGTTAGATTAGCTGTAAGTAGCCTACAGAAACTGAAGTTCTATTGCTCTCTTTAAATTTCACTGTAAATTTTGACAGACAGCAAAGATAAATGGCCAGCCCCTCCAACTATTTTTTTTATTGAAAATCATTCTCACACCAGCATATACCCTTGAGATGTAACAGCAAGGGTTTATTATACTGAGTCACAGAGCGAGTCTTGAAAGCTTTCCTAAATTATAAAGTTTGGATTTGTCACAAGCGTAAATCTACTTAGAGGAGCTGTGTATGGGGTGAATCTTAGTCTCTTTAAAGGTATCCACCAAATATACTACCTTGGACGAAACACTCCATGCTCCAGTTATTTTTCCCATATCCATTAGCATGCAAAAATCCACAGCTCAGAAGCAGCAACAAAAACATGACAGCTACTTTCCCTGCCATTTTCGCACATCTGAAGAAACACAATAATCAGCAAAACTGTCACTCACCTACTACTAAAGAACACGAGTGTCCAGAGCTCCTGGGAGTGCTCTGTGGTTATTCAATTTGGGACACTGAGGTTGTTTATAGCAGTAGCACAGCTCGTGGCCAGCCAGACCTGTTTGAGCCCAGCAGCGTGACTGGCCTTCCAGATGTACTAATATTCTATATTTGTACAGTGATAACATGATCTGTGTTCTTACAGCAGAGGCACGGGCAGGATAAAGTGTCTACACTGCAGTGACTCAACACAGGATGAGAAACAACAGCATCAGGACAGCAGCTCATTTGCTCCAAGGAAAGTGTGACAGAGCTAATGTTGCTCATGCTTATGTATTTTCTTTGGAAAAGGGGCAAGGAGAATAAGAAAAAAGATACATCTATAGTGTGCATTCCTCTGGTACAGACTAGGTCTTCATTCCCATGTCCATACAGTTCCAAGATAACATGCAGACAGTCCCATGAGTGATTGACCCAGAGAAAGAACTGAAGTGAAGAGTTTGGGTCTGATGTTTTCAAAATTGCTTTTGGTTAAATTTCCTTTTAAATTCAGCTTTTCAATTAAAATATTATTTAATTTTCTGAATTAAAAAAAAAAAACTGGCTTTTTTCAACAACTTCTGTTTATTTTTCATCACTGCCAGTAATAATAAGCATTAATCACTACAACTGGATTTGGCTGAATCTTCAGATACTGGTTTTACATTGCTGCATTTTCAGTGTCCTTGCTGAAATCATATTATATTGGTACCAACAGAAATGGAAAATCCGTTCAGTCATCTTATTCTTCACAAACACCAGTGATAAAAAAGGATCACTGCATCCAAGTTGTCTACCACATTTTTATCTTCTGACACAACCACCCACAAATTTGCATATTTTTGCCAAATAGCTGTCTGGTTTCCTGCAGCAGTGAGCCTTATCAGACTTCAGCTGCAAGAGCTGACAATGCAAGCAGTGATGGAGACAATACTTTGGAGCAGGGAAAGTGCATCCCTTCTGTGTTCAAAAGCCTGGTCCATATTTCTGCTCTCTCACACACTGCCTAGGAAAACTTGTTCCTGTATTTTTGTTCAGAACACAACAGCATGAAGTAATACTTAATTAACAATTATATTAAGGAACATGTGACCTCCATCTCACTTTTTCAGGATCCACTATTGTTCTTTAAATGTTCAAATACAGA